AAAAAAAAAACGTAATTACATACAAGTATTGGAGCAGATAAAATAAAGGCTACAAAAAATACAGACTCGTTTCGCCCGACGAAGTCGTCGGTGCTGGAACTACAGTTACAGAAGTTGGTGCTGCCGGTGCTGCAGTTGTTGGAGCCGCAGTTGTTGGTGGCGCAGTTGTTGGGGTTGTAGCTGCTGCAGTTGTTACTGCTGGCTGTGCAGCTGTAGTAGTTGCTGTAAAATAAACTGTTAACAGCTGCTAATTAAAAGCTGATAAAGTGTTTGTCAGGCAGCTTTTTCCAAAAAGTGATAAAGAGGAATAAAGAAAAAAGAAAATTTATTCTGTGAAAGTTACAAATGCATATTTAGAAGAAAAAAATAATATACAATTTTTCAGAAGATAGTGACATTTTTGGAGCTGTTGTAAGAGTGAAAATTCTATGGCTGTCACTGACAATTCTCCAAAAGACTCAAAACCTTGAGTTTTGAAAAAGAGAAACAAACTATTATTGACGAAAGAAACTTCAGAGCGATAACTTTATACCGGATGGATCCTCAATGCACTGATCGGTCTGTATATCACATTTGAAGCCGGGTGGGCATTCTCCGAAAATACATGCTGAAGTAAAAATACAATATGGTAAAATAATTACAAGTCTAAGATAAAAAGTAGCCAAATTTTTGAACAAAATTAGTGCTATGTCTAAATAGCATCAATAATTTTTAAAAAGATTACAACTTAAAGTTACTCTGTTTGTCAGCAAAACTCCGCAGTTTCTGCAATGTATAATTCCTTATGAATTCCACCTCAGATCTACATTTTAGACGAGAGAGCTTAAGATAAAACAGTAAAAGTATTTAAAAAAGTTGATCAAAAAATCTTTCTTTCGAGCAAAAGATGTAAACCTTCTCCATTAACTGAGGAGATTGCAAATAAGAAGAGAATGGCCAGTGACTGTAGCATTTTGAATTCTCGAATTTGGTATATTCCTACACAGGAAGCAAAGCTTACACTAAGATTTCAGGTTGCGACATCGAACCTTTATTTGAAATTTTTGACCGAGAAATAAGGAAAAGTAAACAAACTTTTGTGCCGGAGTGTTAGAGTTTTATTTTTTTTTGGCTGTTATACCTCATAAAAAATATAAAGTTTTGAGTATTTTGTTATCCTAACTGGACCAGCTTTGTAAACTCTTCGTTTTTTTAGTCTTGTTTGGTTAAAAAAATTCAATTCAGAACAGCTTCTGTTTTTTGAATATGCTTTTTAAACTCTCATTGTTTACCGACTCGTCCAGAAAAGTAAGCAAATAGAGGAACCCGAAAGCAAAAAAATAATTATTTTCGACCAGGCGCGCTGATCCGTGCTTTTTTTTGAAGTTTCACACTGCTCACAAATTATTCATTAGTCTATGCTCTCATTTTTTTGAGTTACGCATATAAATTAACGTAAAAGTTAGTTTTCTTCGTCAAGTTTTCACTGTCTTTGTCAATAATCTCAAAATTAAAACAGCTTTTCTGTTTTTTTTTTTTTTACATATTTTATCAGCAAGTCCGCATGCACTATTGTCAGCAGCACCGCAGTGCGATGATAATCAGTGTCTAATTGTTCCGTGTTTCTTGTTAAGAAGAGTTTATGGTAAAATATGTGAAAACACTTCAAAAATAATAGCGGAAGTACACAAGGCGATTTTGTGTAAGTCGTGCAAGTCGATGATGTCTGTAGTTATAATTTAAGCTACTGCTAATTTTCGTCTCCTTACTGGATATAGACCCCGAAATCGGCCAAAAAAAAAACTTTGCGGTTTAAGCACTTTCAAACATTTGGCTTCATGATTGTTCACTGTAACAACAATAGCTTACTAAAAATTATTCAAGTAAATTAAAGCAATGTTTGTGTACAAAAACTAGGTATTAATGTGATGCACAAAAGGTGTTCAACGAATAATATTAAACTTGGCTTTTGCCAACCAAACTCGATAAACGTTTAAAACTTTCCAAACTTTTTCAACGTGTCTCGGTTACTTAAAGCATATCTTTTGCCCCGATTAGAAAGATCAAATTCAGAAACACTCTTTACATTTTGCTGCAACAGCAGTGCCTCAAAAAGTGCAGTTGCCCTAAAGCATTATCGCTTCTTTCCGGTTTTACCATTTTTTGCCGTTGCCCAAACTACAGTCACTAATCAGGGTGAAGTTTTTAAAAGCAGCAAGCTCAGCAGCTCCAAGGAACAGATTACAAGACAGATCAAAGTACACCATTTTTGTGTAGCTGAGACGTTTTGAGCTTACGGTCTCAGCAAATCTATAGTATTTTCCTTTGTAATACTTGCATTATCAAATGTACGCAGATTTTGATACACTTAATAATGGATCAAAATTCTTTTTGCTGTTTAATGTTGAAAACTCAAATTTGGATATGTGGGACCTAGGTTTAAGCACTTTCTGCACTGCCAATGCCCACTGATCACGATGCCTTATAGGGTAAGCGGAAGTTTAAACAGCTTTTACTGCTGAGTGATGTTTAGATGATGGCAAATAGAGTGAGGGACCTGCTATAGAAAGTTTGTAGCCTTGCGTAGCGAGCGTGTAACGTGTCGGATTTTGGGCATAAAGCAAAAAGGTGTTGGTGAAATTTAGCGGAATGTGGTAATAATTTGTAAAAAAAAGAAAAAGTAATTATGAGAGGTAAGCGCTAAACAAAGCAGTAGGTAAGG